AACGTTGGGCTTTCAGCAGAGCAGCAGGGCTGTAGATCCTACCTGTTACCTCACTTGGTTAATGAGAAAACAAACTAAAAAAACTTAAATGACCCTTGACCCCTGAGCGCAGCCCTGAAAGGCGGGTCCTTGTTTGCATCGACTGATTGTTGATCCACTCTCCAACACTTGAATTCAGAGCTTCCACGATGGCGGCATGCCGGTGGATTTCCTCGCCTACCGCCCCCCTGTTTATTTTCAGCCACTGAATTTTAGCGACAGTCATTGGTGGATCCAGTCTCCTCATGATGGAAAACAGTTGATGTGTTTGAGTGTGCAGGAAGCACCTGGCAGAGTCATGCAGGTGGTTGTTTTATGGTTCAAAGCATGTGAGAGTGCACGATCCCGAATGTGCACACAGCACAGAGGATGCATGTGCGTTTGTGTAGCTCCTACACTCAGTTTGACCCCAGTGTGCACACAGTTTATTGCAACGTGAGGAAACTTCACCTCATTTAACGTTCTTTCATTCGCTGTTGTGAAGCGATTACAAGTCTGCTGAGTAGAGATGGGAATTTATACGAATTGAGTGATTTTGATTCCATAATCTGCATGTTGTGGATTAGTGCTGGGCGACATGACCACATATATCTAACGTGTGGACGACAGAAAAGTGTCTATCGTGCCATTTGTCTTCTATCGTTTCTAACCTAATTTTATAAACGATTACATAAAATATATCATTAAATAGCCTGTGGCAAATGTATTAGTGTTGTCTTGTCACTATGCATTCTCTAACTTTATGCAAGAGAAAATAAAGTATTAAAAAAAATGAAGAAACGCCGTCTTGTGGTTTTGCGACATGGTGCTGCTTTACGTGCTTCATGCCCGGACATGCACCAGGCAGAGACGGCTGCACAGGCAGCCCAAGAAGAAGCACTTTTACCAACAGAGGGGTACGTCTGTGATTTGGTTACTTGTTGGGTTCAACAGCACCAACACGGAGCAGAAGACGCCCATTTGTAAGCTATGCTATAAAACTATTCCCGCGCCCGATGGCAACACAACAAATCTCTTGTATCACCTACAGAAGGCCCACGAAGAAGAATCCAGAGAATCCGAGCTAAACCAAGCTGTGGAACGACGGGAGCAAGTTGGGAAAGAAAAACTATACCAGCTGAAGATGCAGCAGCCTTTCACACGAGGCCCGTATGAGAAAACGTCCCAGCGCCATAAACAAATCACAGGCGCTGTCTCGCGTTGCATTTGTAAAGGCATGGCCCTGTTTATGTAGTTGAGAAGGACGGCTTTCGTGACCTCGTCAAAGTCCTTGATCCGAGGTACGTTATGCCCGGTCGTAAGCACTTCAGTAAAGTCGAGTTGCCTCGCTTATACGACGCATGGCGGCCAAAGTAGAGCAGGATGTTTGCAGTGTCGTGCATTAAGCCTTGGCTGCTGAGCTGTGGACGAGCAGAGATACGCAGCCCTGCATGAGCGTAACCATCCGCTTCATTAACGAAGACGCCGCGCTCGCTGTTGACAGACTGCGGACTTCCCACATGACCACACTGGAGTCATGTTAGCCCAAGGTATGAGTCTGCCGTCGCTACGTATTTACCGTGCATAAAGTACATTATGTGCGTATATACGTGCACGTAGTACTAGTATACATACACACATTAGTTTTACTAGCATATATGATATGCATGTTAGTAAAACTAATATTTTGGGCAGAAAACCTTGAAACTGTTGTGCACTTTAAAAAGTTCATTTTAAATGTATGATTTTGAAAATAAAGAAGGCCACAGCTGTTTTCCTTTGATGCGTTTATATTGCTGCACTAAAATGCACGTTTCTCATTTGTGACAGTTCCTTTAAACCTTCAAAATAAAGTTGGAGAAAAGTGAGCAATGACATCTGTCACACTTTTCAGAGAATAAGTGGAAACATTGTGGTATATCGTGATATATATATCGTTATCGTGATATAAAATTATTCATATCGTGATAAATATTTTTCCATATCGCCCAGCACTAGTTCCCAGCATCGGTTTCCCTGAAAACACGCTGTGTGACACCTGTGCGAGACACACCTAGGTCAGCAGGAACCAGGCTCTGTCCTCCTCTAGCTTCCAAGGCGTTGTACTCCCTGCCATCATTGTTCTCGTCGAAGAAGATCTTGAACCACTGGAGGAAGGTCAGAGCCACGGCCGAGTTCCTCTTCATCAGCGACTCGATGGGGATGTGCTAGGCAGAGCAACAGACATTGTGGTATATCGTGATATATATATCGTTATCGTGATATAAAATAATTCACATCGTGATAAATATTTTTCCATATCGCCCAGCACTACTGTGGATCAAATGTTTGTGTGTGCTGGAGGTGTTTCCCCTTGGCGTTGGGGCGTTTTCTTCAAAGTGATGCGGTACATTACTTATTTACACTCAGGAGAAATCAGGTTGTTGCACTACTCGCCGGAAGTTAAACGACCTGAAACACATAATCACCATTTAACAGGTGACACACAGCGACACATGCTAATGACGGCATCTTAGTATGTAGGTATGAACACAAATTCGACGGCACAACGAGACATTAAAGCAGTCGCCATGATGATTCTACTTTAAAAACACGGACAGGTACAAACACAGCCCGACTCTCACAGCTGGGGTCAGCTTTCACGCTACATTCGTGGCTAGCTTAGCATTAGCATGCTGTCTGGCTAGCTTAGCCTTTAGGATGTATTCTGTGCAGAGCTGAAGCATAATGCATTTGTTTGTGTCCTGGATGCAGTTTCCGCTTTACCATTGCGCGCCCATCCTTTTGTGCAGCAAAATCCAGTGTCGCCTAAAGAAGGATTATTTTGAGTTGTGAATCATGCAAAGCTGCTGTAGTCCAAAAAGAGACGAGCTGGAACTGAGCAGAAAGAGAAGATCACCTTAATCACCCTGCGACCGTTCACTACCCAGAGACTGACCTTTAACCTCGCTGAAATCCTAACCTACACACATGTCTGTGGTGTAAACACACACACACACAATAAAATGAGTATTTAGGTTGACCAGCATGAGGCTCAGGAGAATGCAGAGTCATATGGTGTGTGCCTAACACACACACACACACACACACACACACACACACACACTGATAGGTTTGTGTGTTTGCGTCAGGTTTTTTTGGGTCAGATCGGTCCCACAGAGCAGCGAGGTGTGAACTCTTGGAGAACAGGCAGTGCTTTTATTTGCAGTGATAAATTAGTCCAATAGTCAATGCAAATGTGCAATCAATCAATCAATTTATTTATAAGCACATTTAAAAACAACACAGATTAAAGTGCTGCACGCAGTAAAAAGTAGAATCAACACAGAGAATGAAACTCAGTCACAATTCAAAGCTAAAGAGTAAAAATGTGTTTCTGACGTGTTTCAAAAATGTCGAGTGTTGGAGAGACGATGACCAGGCTGTTCCAAGTTTGTGCGCAGCAATCACAAAGGCCCGCTCTCCTCTGCGTTTGTCCTGTGGTGCTACGACGTCCTGCGATGTTCCCAGCAATGACCCGCGCTCGTGAAATCCTACAGCAGGCAAGCAGTCAGTCTGTCCGCTCTCACGTCACAACTATCGGGCTTGGCGAAATATTCTAGCGCTGACCGTCACCTGACTCCGCTGTTAAATAGCTCTGATGATTGCAAACAGCTGGAAACAGCTTCAGATGCCCTTCAGCACCTGACTTCCGGAGCAACTTCCATAAACAACCCCAGAAATGGAGAGGGAGAAAAAACAGGAAAGAAAAAACCCGCAGGCAGGTCGGGGAGCGTCCGATCGTGTCACGTCTTTACTTTGGCTTCTATTATTTTCTGTTTCATCCATTTCTTCCTTCTTTCCTTCCTTCTGTCTTTCCTTTGCTCCCTCATCCAGCTTCCGTGTGCTGTTCGGTCGTTCGTTTCCTTCGATGCTTTGATCCGTTCTCACTGTGACTTTATTTGCTCTTCTTTCCTCCTGATTGTTCTCACAGATTCGTGTTTGTGCTCTGCCTCTGTCGTCATGCTCAGCCGCAGTAATGCCCCATCGACGCACTTCTCCTTCTTCTTCACGCCGTTTGCGTCGAACGCACTCTGAAGCGCGGCCGTGAACATTTCGAGCTCCGCTTCCGAACAAACTCTGAGTGAAACTGACGATCATCATCAGCTGTGTCATTAAAGCTGCACTTCAGTGTTAGGAAGGAAGTCTGGAGTATCCGAGGAATTTCATCCGAGGCCACAGCGGCGATTGTTGATTGTTCAGCTGCGCATCCTCTCTGCAGAGGCCCAGGATGTGGAATGGGCGTGTAGGTCGCAGCTTTATGTTAAACATCCTTTCTTATTTTCTCTCTTTAACCTAAAGCAGTGATTAGGTCGTCCTGTCGAGTCTGTCGGCTGCCTCTCCAGAGAGGCCGAGGCACTCCGCCTGCACCGTCAGGCAGCCGCTAGTTTTCGTGTCTCTCTCAGCCTATCAGAACCTGGACGTATCTCCAGCTGACGGAGATTTTGAGATCCTCTCCGAACGACGACGAGGTAACCGGTGACCGGTTCGGCCTGGAGGGAAGACTTGAGCTTGTTGTATTTCAGAATGGAATTTCAAAATAAGAGTGAGGAGATCGTTTAATTAACTCGATCGCTGGAGGTGTGATCTCTCTCTGATGGATTAAAACTAAAGATAGACCCACACCTGTGCAGCCCAGCACTACCTGTGACAGGGGGAGGGGCTAAAATAGCTCGCCTCAGAGGCGGTTTAACTGGTTGAAGCTGAAAACCATGTGTTTCACACAAACGCTTTTTTCTATCTAACATTCACACGTAGTAGCGCAGACTGGGGATCAAACCTCCAACCTCATGATCAGTAGGTGACTTGCTCCACCCCTAACTCTGGTAAAGTCTCAGTGAACTCCAGCTGTAAGTCCAGCTGCCCGAGGACCCGAGGAAGAAGAGCGTTATTCCGAGCAGACGTGACGCTGACGGAAACTGTCTCACGTTTTTGTCCTGCAGGTTTGAGAAGGAGTCAGCACAGACACGGGAATCCAGCGCCACCACCATGCCTTCCAACAAATACTCTGCTGCTATCATGGAGAAGAGCAACAACATGACGGCCACAGTGAGTCTCACACACACACACACAGTCATGGCCACTCCCCCAGCTGCTGCCTGAGCCAGCTGTGGGTTTAAAGGAGAGTGTGTATCGCTGCCAAGGCAGATGCCCGGGCAGGACCGCCAGCATGTTACATGAGTCTAATTGAGAATGCACGTCAGCAGAGAGGCTGCATGCAGCGCCCCACACACACACACACACACACACACA